TGGGACTCCAAGCACAGAGTATGCAAAATATAGCAATGTAAAATTCAGCGACCCAGTGGAGATGGAATGGGTTTGAGGACTCTGGGTCAACGGACTGTAGATATTTAGACAAGTGATGTCATTCAAAGATATATTTCCGGTAGATCTTGTTTTGCTATACAATGGATCCCCCGGTTGTTCTATGATGGATACGCCAGTTACTGTATGGATGTACCGAATATGGTTTTTGCACGCATGCACCGGTCTCCATTGCACCCCACAGTACCGGCCCACCCGCCTCCATTGCACCCCATAATGCCAGCCCACCCATCTGCATTGCACCCGGTAGCCCCGGCCCACTGGTCTTGATTTCACCTGGTTGACCAGCCCACCCGTCTCCACTGCACCCCATAACCCTGGCTCGATTTCACCTCGTTTACCGGCCCACCCGTCTCTATTGCACACCGCAATGCTGGCTCACCCGTCCTGATTTCACCTGGTCAACCGGCCTACCCATCTCTACTGCACCCCGTAGCCCCGGCCCACCCGTCTCTATTGCACACCGCAATGCTGGCTCACCCGTCCTGATTTCACCTGGTCAACCGGCCTACCCATCTCTACTGCACCCCGTAGCCCCGGCCCACCTGTCTTGATTTCACCTGGTTGACCAGCCCACCCGTCTCCACTGCACCCCATAGCCCCGGCCCACCCGGCTCAATTTCACCTCCTTTACCGGCCCACCCATCTTGATTTCACCTGGTTGACCAGCCCACCCGTCCTGATTTCACCTGGTCCACCGGCCCACCCGTCTCCACTGCACCCCATAGCCCTGGCCCACCCGGCTCAATTTCACCTCCTTTACCGGCCCACCCATCTTGATTTCACCTGTTCTACCGGCCCACCCGTCTGCACTGCACCCCGTAACCCCGGCCCACCTGGCTCGATTTCACCTCGTTTACCGGCCCACCCGTCTCCATTGCACCCCGTAACACCGGCCCACCCATCTCAATTTCACCTCATTTACCGGCCTACCCATCTCCACTGCACCCTGTAACACCGGCCCCCTCGTCTACATTACATTTCATCTTCCGGCCCACCTGTCTCCATTGCACCCTGTAACACCGGCCCACCCATCTCCATTGCACCCCATACGGCCGGCCCACCCGTCTCAATTTCACCTCATTCACCGGCCTACCCGTCTCCACTGCACCCCGTAACACCGGCCCCCTCGTCTACATTACATTTCATCTTCCGGCCCACCCATCTCCATTGCACCCTGTAACACCGGCCCACCCATCTCCATTGCACCCCATAGGGCTGGCCCACCCGTCTCCATTGCACCCTATTCCCCGGCCTCCTCGTCTCCATTGCACCCCATATGGCTGGCCCACTCGTCTCCATTGCACCCCATTCCCCGGCCCCCTCGTCTCCATTGCATCTCATCTACCGGCCCCCTCGTCTCCATTGTGCCTTATTTACCGGCCCACTCACTATCACACACTGGATTCACCACCATTCATAATCACCTATATAGTACATTGCTATACTACCATGTATACTATATACCCCCGGCCCATCCGTTTGCCTCGGATACACCACACCCTCGGCCCACTCGTCTATCACGGTACAATTATTGCCACCGGCCCACACCGGATGGCTCGTCTCTATCGGTACATTGTCACGCCCGGCTGCCCGTCTCAGACGGGTGAATTCACTGAAGGGGCTCTCGAATGAGAAGTTCAAAGCCAACGGCTTTCGCCCAGCCAATATCTCTTTGTCCATTCTGTGTCTGCCACCCTGGGATAAGTCTCCAGGCTCTCCAGCAATGACCTATTACTATAGCTATTCCTATGGTGGAACTCGCGTCAGAGAAGGCAAGGGGGTTAGAGTATGGTACCGGTGGGTAAATCGGCTTGATGGTGCCGCCGTTTTGTAGGAGATCCGACCACCATATTAGATCTGCCTCGATGTCCTTAATGGGGCAGTGTGGGAGATAGGGTTTCTTCCCACAGATACTGAGCATGCTTTCTAGGGAAGTGAGGTAAGCTCGGCCACGCTTTACAACCTCGCAGGCGTGTAAGAGTTTGCCGTATAGTTCACGCACGTCTTGTAGCACATTGTGGGTTTCGGTTGCTACTGCATTATCAGCGCGACTGCAGCCGATTCAAGTGCATTCGACCCTATAGGGGAAGCAGTGCAATGCAAACCACCAACAACAAGTTGTATTGTCCAACCTAATAGTCGATGCCAATGCCAATGCCAATGCCAACTTGGCCAATCGAAGTTGAGCAAAGAGAGAGTGAAGTGGAGTGGTCCTGAGTGATAAATGAGTGAAATAGAGGAGGTGTGTGTGTAGTATGATGAGCGAACGTTTAAGAGAGTTGGCCGATGACTCAATGAGAAATCACACAAGAAATTGTTCCAAGTGAGAATTTTGCTAGAGAAACTACTAAGAACATGGGCGGAATATATAGTAAATGAGACTAAGCGATGAAGGGGAACTTTGGGTCACTTAAGATGCCTCATGGATCGCTAAATACTCGTTTCTCTGTGTCCATGTAATAAGGTGTGAGGTGGGGCAATAAAAAGCCGATAAGCGGTCCGATTATGCGAATGGGGGTGGAAAGCAATGAAAGTAAGCGATATACGTACCAGTAGACAACGGGCCAATGACATGAGACGATGGATAGTGACCGATTGCGTGTGCAGACGATGTCCGACTTGGATCGAGTGTGACCGACTGGGTCAATCGTTGGCCGATGTCGATGTGGAGCGGCAGTGCGGGAAAGTGGGTCGGAGAGGATTGGAAAGATAGGGGATACTAGCTTAGTAGCGATCGGCTTCCTACAACGTGTCTTTCGCGTTGATGCCAGTTGTGAATCGCTAAAAGATATTTGTTGACTTTGGGTGAGCTGAGCGAGACGGTGTGATTCTTTACGTCCCAGAGAAATCCGATGCAGATGGTTGACGAGGCGAAGGGTTGGTCTTTCTGTCTTTCCCAGATGATTCCTAGTTCAGTGGATAGATCATCAATATCCGAAAGACTATAACTGAAGTGCTTATCGTGTTCTGATCTGGGAGACACTTCTGATAGGTCTTTCAAGGGCCATGCACAGTCCTCGTTGAACTCTTCCCTTGACCCATCGTCAAACATGTGCCCACCAAACCAGAGGCAGCTCCCAGATTGCTGCATGCCCTTCTCGGCAAGGTCTTTATTCCACTTGCGCCATTGAAGGTTGTACTCGGCTAAGAATTCATGCAGGATGCAGATAAACAGGTGGTCGTCTACCCATTTGTCTAATGGTCCGATGCCCGGTGCCTGAAGATTTCGGCCCCGGCGTCTGCTACATGACCGTATACTCCTGCCAGCGGGGTGGCTCCAAATGCCATGCAGGTATCTATGCAGAATTCTGAGTCTGATACTCGGACTACACCTGCTGGCCACTGCGATGGGTGAAGTGGAACAGTTCTGTAAGCTTTGGTGACGTCTCAGGTTGCTACTTCTGAGCCTGTAGGTAGCCTCAAAATTAAAAGGTAAATGATTGAGAATTTGCCCCAAGTGGTGGGGAAGCAATCCGAGTCAATAAACGAATTAACTGAAGGATTAGGGAGGGTGCTAGTGAGGGAATGTGGGAAGGAGAAGTTTTGTACTAGTCTATATTTGCCTGGCTTGCCCGGCTTAGGAATGATGGATAGTGGCGAAGATTGAAAAGGGCCGATAAGACGTTCGAGAGTTGTGGGAAGAAAGGGACCTATGTATCTATCTTTCTGTAGTTCTTTCTGTATGACGGAATTAAATTTGGATAGGTATTCATTAACAGAGTCTTTGTTCGGAGGGATTTGTACATGTGAGATTAATGGGAAGTCTAGTATGAAACTGGAGCAGAAACCTTCTGGGATCTTTGAGAAGTGATTCAGTGCATGCGCGTCTCGAAGCGCTTGTTCCCATGCAGTAGCTTTGTAGGGAGTGAGCAGTTTAAGTTTTCTGAGCACAAGTACAGCGCTGGGCTCCATGCTCGGAAGATCCGCAGCCTGAACAGAGGTGTTTGTGGCTGTGGTATGTGCTGTCACAACTTTCTTCGCATTGCCAGGCAGTGCATAGCTGGTGGCCGTCTTTGGTCCAGAGCGCTTTCTTGATGCACTCAGAGAAGATGTCAAAGAGGTTATCCCATGTTCGGGAGGCGGAACACTCAACTGTGCGATGCGGGTTGCATCCGAGACAGACCGCGCAGCAAGGGAGGGTGGTGAGTGTATTGTGCGCGTCTCAAAAGGATCGCGGTTTCTTTTTCTGGTCTCTCGCCTCGGTGTTAGGCGATATTGGTCTCTTTTGTCCACTGAAAGCTCTGGAGCCTGTGTTTTGATTCACAGCAGGGACGGCCTGTTTAAGTGTGTTGAGAGCCTGATCACGGTCCAAGTTGAAGATTTCCTCTCTCGCTTTGAGGATGAGCTCATGACTGAGTTCGGCTATAGACCAGCTGTGTGGGCCACCCGCTGTGAGGTGCCACATTCTGCGCCATTGACTTTGGTAGAGTAAGAGTGTGCGCTGTTTCAGGGCGTCAATGGCATGGCGCCAGCGATGGTTCTGAAGGGCTGTCCAAAAGCTGATGTGCATGTTGATGTGGTCTTCTGGCCATTCTTGTTGCTTCATGGTGATGACCATGCGAGGGGCAGCTTCATTGAACTCTTCCCATGAGAGGTTTTCGTCTTTGGTGATGACGGCTTTCGAGTCGTGGGTCTCATCTGCATTGACCCACGTCTGTTGGCCATTTGCTCCTGGGAGTAGGATCAAACCTCGCGACTCTGTCAATAGGAGGTTCTTCTTAGCTTCATTTAGGCCTTTGTTGGTGAAGTAATAGAGTTCGCAATAGTTGCCTGCTTTGAGTTTTCGGACTGCAAAATTGGAAGGAATAACGATGGGAGTAGTAGGTATCTTAGCTGTAGCGACTGGGACGAACTTGGATTTGTTTTTCTTGTGCTCTTCTTTGCACACTGCGGTTAGCTCATCTTTGAGTGCTTGTTGGCGTTCTTGTTCCTGTTCGGTAGCGAGACGACAGGCCTCGTGGGCTCATCTGGTCTCTGCTTCTTCTTGGTCTGCCCAAGCATCTTTTGCTGCATTGTTGTTCAGAGTCCAGATTGCTGCTAGAGCTTCTGCTGCTAGCGCGTTATCTACAATGCCTTTTTCTATCAGACGCACCCTGGCATCTCCGTACTCGGCTGTCGTGGAGTCTGGTAAGACTGCATCATTGGGATTGTCTAGCATGAGAACTGTGTGCTAGATTGAATGAGCAAAGACAGAGAGCTAGGGCTGCTGTCGTCTACGATAATAGGTGTTGTGTGTGGACGAGAACAAAGAGAGTTACTGTCACACCGCTTACTCACACGTAGAATAACTTCTGTGTTAGCCTCGTTCCTCAGCTAACTCAGAAAACCCTCTTTGCTTTGCTTTGATCCTCTTCCAGACAAAATCAAAGGCGACCTTCAATGCGTATTTGCTCGGAATTGTCAACGATGCATACTGCAGAAATTGGTATGGCTTACTATTTGAGCTCGCTCAACAAAGCATCCCCAATGCTATCACCAGCCGATCGAACTGTGATATCAAGCTTCTCGATTAACGTAAAATGTGTCATTGTGATTCCTTATCTCAATCGACAGGATGTCTGAGCGCTTTTGAAGGCAAAGGTTGATATTCCATAGTGCGACCCATTATATCTCGGGCAGGGACAATAACAGGGTGCCATGTTGCGGATCGGCTGCTTAATAAGATCATCTCGTTGAATATTGTGTATACAGATCATGATGACCTTGAGATATGAAGGCTAAATCATGACAATGATCGGATGAGTATCATTGTGTACTTTCATTGCGGCAAGAAAAAAAATACCATTTATGCGCGAGAATTGAGGGACAACGCGCTTGCAGATGTGCTCACCGTCTTTGTCGTCTTGTGCATCATATCAAGCCAGAGCATTCAAAATGACGACTCACCCCATTCTGAACACTTGTTGAGGGCCCGATGAGAAGTTTGTTCAGTATAACAAATGTACTGGAGAATATGGCGGGTTCAGAATCAGCTAGTTGGTTGGAAGTTGCTGAGATGTATCGGAGCGCAGTCAATGTGTTGACTATGACTTGAACACAAATATCAAGATGAGGAAGAGAAAAAATAAGCTTGCCATAGGATTTTTATCTGAAATACCCATGAGCTGATCGATGACGAGCTCGGGCTTGACATTGCAGTGCAGAGCGCAGCAGTCTTAAGGATGTATGGAGTGGTCATCTCGCAAGGCGCGTTGAAGAAGGTTGCACAGATAGTCTATAATCTTCACTGCGCACAAACATCTTATGGTTTGAATCGCCAGTGCACGTACAAGTGGGATGAGATCCTCGGAGTCTTTGACGAAGGTATTGACGGTCAAGATCACCAGTTCTGGCTGTGTTTCTGTGCAGTTCATGAGATGGAGATATACAAGCTTCTTCTGTTGGAGGTCCTCTGTCTGCAAATTCTTGAGGACATAGGGGAACAGGCTACTGACATCTAGGGTAAAGATCGAGCAGTGAAGTGGAGCACCTTTGTCAATGATCGTTGATGCTATGATGGATGCCAGGACACTAGAGATATTGTAGTTGGATGAATTTTAAAACACAGAGATCTTGGACGCATTTTCATTCATACCATAGGTGCTCATCGTATTTGTATTGCACACTGACCTACCTACAATTACCACTGCAATTGTATTATCGAATCATTGCTGACCGCACCAGCTGAGGATGGGTTTTTTGTCCATCCTGCTATGTCGAGTCACTCAATGAATATTCAGTGTGATTTCGATGTTTGGGATGCAAAGGCGAGAGTGAACATGGGTTCCAAGCATGGGTCGTTCTTGTGCACTGATCCGTGATGGACGTGGGTGAGTATTTGGGGCAGGCTTTCACCGCCACAAGTAGCCAGCTGAATCCTGTAAGGAGAGTCTTGTTCCAAGCATGCCCAAGAAAAATGTATAAAGATGATTCCCGATGTACATGGGATGTGGGGATGACATGAGGGAACATACATATGTGAACACGGTCCATGCCATCACTGACCAATAGCTACTGCAACTTCATTGGAAGTAACTCACAACGCCCAACCATGGAACGATAGCCAACAGACACATCATGCCAGCCCTTCGCGCATCCCTCACGATGAAAACGATGTCCAAGATCAGTGCAACCGTGCCAGCCACCGCAAGAGACATTGAGAGGCTCGAAACCAGAAAGACTACATAGTAAACACCTAAATAAAACATCAAGATTCAAAACGTCAGCACAGAATTCTCAGCTGGATCGAAGAGGTACACTTACAACTCGCCATACACCCTCAAGTTAAAGCAAGAGCAAGATCGCACGACGCATCTCCTCGAATGGTTTCTAGGTTTGCGGTCGATGACTGATCACTACACTCCGGAAAACTGCCTACCTTGGAATAGCAAAAATGCAGTGTGCAGTCTGTTTGGGCCAATATGAATTAGCAAACTAGTGCCAGGGAAAACCACGTGTACACCAAGGTCGCCAGCACTTGGTCATTCACTTTGGATGTACTACAATTGAGAGCTCAGAAACATACTAGTAACACTGAGCATAGAGTAGTCACGAAGCGGACTAGGTCTTGCTATATAAGAAAGTCAGTCTTGCAAGACAGAATGTGAAACCAGTCTCTGCTTACTACGACTGCATGAAGAGCAACGACGACATTTACAGTACTACAAGTCACTTGCAATATGCACTTGAATCCGCAGCAATCACTGCACCAGTCCCTGTAGGTATAATGCATTAAGTCTGCTTACTACAAGACATGAGTATTGCATTAACTATGCTCATTAGCATGTTCAGTGATGCATCAGATCATGCTAAAGTAGTACACCTAGGCCATAGACCATATGTTCGCATTTTCAACCACCTACTGTGGGAACTTCTCCACAACACCCAAAACATAGCCCATTTTAGGTATTCTCTCAAATATCAACCTTTCCCACACCCTCCCCATCAATCCCTGGCTCACCACTACACCACAATTAGATATAGCCTCTAGTTAAGTAGTATTATAGGTTATATACACATCATATAACATAATAAACCGCTTTTTCCCTTTGTTTTTGTACCAATACCTGCTACAGAGCCTCTGTGAGTGTGAACTAATAAACAACATATCAAAAACTGTTTCGCATTTTTGCCCCTCTGGTATTGTGGTACTCTAGAGTGTTTAGAATATGTTTATAAATGTATATGTACCTATCAGAGCCCTCACTTCACCCCCTAGAGCGTCCTATACCATGTTCTGTGCTGTACTAGCATAAAATAGAAAATAGCTACGGAAATTTTGAGCTTTAGGTATGTAGACTTGGAAATATGATCCCCAACATCCCTTCAATATTATACACAACGTATCAGGAGCATAGGTCAACAAGATCAGTCCCTGTGGTGCTATATACTTACCCTCTCCTGGTGGTTCACCCCCTGGGAAAACTTTTCCTGCAGCTCCAGCCCTTCAGGATGGTAGGGTGTCTGTTCCTATTGATATATATATATTGTAAATCACATATCTGCATGAGAATAGCAACAGAATCTGTCTGTAGAATAGAACATCTCCTCCTGGCTGCACTACTGCATATTTTCGCATTTTTGAGGTTTTTCACCATATTATCATTGCACAAACTATCCAAGCTGTTTATTTTCTACTTCTAGTACATATATCAAGTCTTTCCATGGCAAGGATCAGACAGGAAGATGTCAGAGTATTGATATCAAGGATATATCTCCTATTCTCACTGATTAGGAGTCTCAGACATGTATTGGATGATATGTTATGATCGGACTATCAAAATACATGCCATACATACTGGGAAACACAGTCCTTAACTATTGGAAGGATCCATCAAGACATGAGAGCAGGGGAATCCAGTAGATAAGAAAAAGAGCGTGGGAAACTAAAAAGTCCAAACATCGAAAATAGTGTGTTGCAGTGTACACATTAAGTTAGTAGTAAGACTGTAATGCTGCAACAACACTTTGACACCAAAACACTTCCACATTACTTTCACTCTTAGAATATAGTGTAGTACAGGATATTTGGGTGGTCTACATTCTATTTGGCTCATTTTTAACAAAATCTTCGACATAGATATTAGTATATTCATGTACTAGTAATAAATCACCAACCAGAGTAAATCTCCAACTTACATTTACTTTGCTTATCACTCACTTATTTATGAATGGATCTTTCTACAAATTCACAGGTGGTATCATGGGTATAGGACAATCATGTAGCAAGTGGCTAATTACACAGAAGTGTCCTCATGAGACCCTAGATTACTTATCAGTAAATCTCCCTGACATACCCCTGATATCAATACTCTGACATCTTCCTGTCTGATCCTTGCCATGGAAAGACTTGATATATGTACTAGAAGTAGAAAATAAACAGCTTGGATAGTTTGTGCAATGATAATATGGTGAAAAACCTCAAAAATGCGAAAATATGCAGTAGTGCAGCCAGGAGGAGATGTTCTATTCTACAGACAGATTCTGTTGCTATTCTCATGCAGATATGTGATTTACAATATATATATATCAATAGGAACAGACACCCTACCATCCTGAAGGGCTGGAGCTGCAGGAAAAGTTTTCCCAGGGGGTGAACCACCAGGAGAGGGTAAGTATATAGCACCACAGGGACTGATCTTGTTGACCTATGCTCCTGATACGTTGTGTATAATATTGAAGGGATGTTGGGGATCATATTTCCAAGTCTACATACCTAAAGCTCAAAATTTCCGTAGCTATTTTCTATTTTATGCTAGTACAGCACAGAACATGGTATAGGACGCTCTAGGGGGTGAAGTGAGGGCTCTGATAGGTACATATACATTTATAAACATATTCTAAACACTCTAGAGTACCACAATACCAGAGGGGCAAAAATGCGAAACAGTTTTTGATATGTTGTTTATTAGTTCACACTCACAGAGGCTCTGTAGCAGGTATTGGTACAAAAACAAAGGGAAAAAGCGGTTTATTATGTTATATGATGTGTATATAACCTATAATACTACTTAACTAGAGGCTATATCTAATTGTGGTGTAGTGGTGAGCCAGGGATTGATGGGGAGGGTGTGGGAAAGGTTGATATTTGAGAGAATACCTAAAATGGGCTATGTTTTGGGTGTTGTGGAGAAGTTCCCACAGTAGGTGGTTGAAAATGCGAACATGTGACCCTGTGAGTGGCTGTGCTAAGGTAATGCATCACATTCCCAAATGGAGCAAAGGGTGATGCATCAACCACTAGCAGTGTTGTTGCATTAGAAGTCTCTGCTACTTAGCCTGTTCTTGCGCATTAAAATGACATTATAGCCTGATCACTGATAATGGTTTTGGGTGTTGATCATCGATAGAAGTAGATAGGGGAACCTGTCCACATGAAATCTGGTGCTAGTGGCATAGACAATATTGATGTTGGCTGGGGATCTGCGCATCGTTATCGTGCGGATAAGCAAGTAAATCATTACACACCACACATGCCTGCCATCATTGATGTAACATCCCATCGACAACCGGAAGTAATTAGACACGAGTGCCGAGTGATCGTTATATATAGGCCCAATAGCAAAGTAGGGTGCGTTACAAAGAATGATGAAAGACAAGTCGGGTGGAAGCAATATATGGCTGTGGAGTCATGGTGGACTGTGGTACATGATAGTACCAGATGCATGCAGGTTCGCTGTGCACAGAATAGAGGGCTACTGCTACATGACGGGTGTTCATAAAGGGAGCAGTGATGATGGAAGCAGCAAAATTAAAATGAGATCCACGTTGTAACAGCGTGATACAGAAGAACCCTGGATAAGCGCCTACATGAGTTAGGTCATGGGCAGAAGTCTAACACTACTCAACACCCACAGAATCCCCAACGGAAGGATATCCTAAATGTACAGTCCACGTCAACTTCAAATGCTACTGACCATCCATCTCTCTGCCTAGGTCAACACAAGATGTCAGGGGTGCCAGGTGTAGCAAAAACATGTATCTCACTTTGAGAGGGCAACCGACGCCAACGCGGATGATGAATTGGCACACAAATGGTGTGGCAGCAGTCGTATTCTTCAAAGATGGTCGCTGGGTCATCACTGGTTCATATGATGAAACACTGCGAATTCGGGACTTGGAGATAGGAGCATTAGTAGGAATGCCATTCAAGGGACACAAGAATCAGGTGACTTCCATGACCATATCACCAGACAAAAAGCAGAAGAAACATAGTGGAGTGGACTGTAGTGCATGATAGTAGTATCAGATGTATGCAGGTTTGCAGTGCACAGAATGGAGGGCTACTGTGACAGCAGTGAAAGTTGATAAGACTTGATGTGTTGGCACAAGAAATAGAATAGAATAGAACAGAATAGAATCCTTATCGCAAAGTCACCATACCAGTCTGATTCGATTGGAAAAGAACTAAGGGATCTTTACAGTACGAGTAGGGTTTAAATACTAGTAGCTTGTGAAGAGCCCGTGATAAAGAGAAATCAAATACTTCCAAGACACTTGAGTCACTCTATGTCAGAACCACGAACGTTGGCTTAGGCACCTAGTTCTTGGCTTCGTCTATTCTTTCTGCCTCGATCTCTATCCTTGATCATGGCAATGCCACATACCCCCCTCCAGGGTGTGCCATCACCCTTATTTCGCCTTGGGGATCCTAGCACCTTCCTTTCTACCAGTCTTGGGCGCAGGACCCCGAGTGGTGGTTTCACCATCCTCATCATCTACCTCCATACGCGCGGGTGGGGCTAGGGTCTGAATGGAAGTCCCTAGGGTGGAAGGAGTGTTATGTCCACCAGAGCTGGATCCTTCCCCTCGATTAACGGGGTATTCATCCGCAATGTTCCCAGAGTGGAAGCTTGTACGGGTGCACTTGTTCTTTTGCTCTGCGATTGCGCGCTCGCGCCACTCATGTTTCCTTTTAGTAGTTTCAAGGTTCTGCCACAGAGCCTCTTCCAGTAGCTCAACGTGCTGAGGATTGATCCAGCGTCCTCCTTCAGGGAGCTGCGGTGCAGGGTTGTGCTGGGTATCAGCGGGCACATTATCCCCAACCAAGTCAGTGAATGAAGGGGAGGGGCCAGTGATTTCAGGCCCGTGAGTCTTCTCTTCTGAGAATCGCGGAGTGGCTGAGGAAAGGGATTGCATAGTGTTAAAGGCCAAAGCG